AAAAAGCGAACTGACAGTAGATACGAATGTACTGAATGCGATGTGGGACTTTGCGTTTCTGGTTGTTTTCAAGATTATCATACTCTAAAGTACTTTTAGACGTTTTTTCTTATTGATATGAATAAATATATACTTCAGAGCTTCAAAACTTCACTTTGTTTTCTTAAAAGTAACCCCGCCCCCAAGGGGTTAAATCACCACACACGGGTGAAAACATTCAGCAGTTGACTGAATGTATTCTTGATCGATTTAATATAAAAGATAAAGTTTATCGTATTGTCACGGACAACGCATCGTCAATGATAAAAGCATATCGATTTGGTTTATCCGTTGAAGACGACGCTGATGATTCGGATGTTAGTCTTCTTGATGATGATGATCCAGATGGATTATCAATTACCACAAACACATCTTTACAAGTTGCTGATGGTGAGTAAATTGTGAACATTTAAGAAATAGCCATTGTTGCTTTCCTTATGAAATAATGCATAAAATATTCATTCAGTTTTTGCTTTCGTTTTAGAAGATAATGATTTAACCAATTTCACAATTATTGATATTCAACACAATACACACAATTTTGATGATGATGATGATAAAAGTTCTTCAGCATTACGTTTATCATGCTTTGCACACACTTTACAATTATCTATACGAGATGGACTTAAAAAGGCTTCTCATGTGCCCAAGGTACTTGCTAAATGTCAAGCCTTGGCTAAATTTTCACATAAATCAACAAAAATTGCTGATATGCTCGATCAATTGAATAAACACATCAATAAATCAAACGTTACCAGATGGAATAGCGAGTATTTATTGATTAAATCAATTTTATCTCTTGGTAAAATCGATGCTGATGCTATAACGTCTTTAATGGACAATCTAGTGAAGTTTTCTAATAATGATTTTATTATATTAGAAGAAATAGTTATCATCCTCGATCCATTTTATGAAATATCAATAAAATGCCAAGCAGAAGCTGTCGTTACTGCAAGTTTGGTTGTACCTTCTGTTCTGCATTTAATAAATCATCTCCGTGATATTAAACGGGATGTTAAATTTTGTAGCAGATTGGTACAACAATCACAATCATCTCTTGAAAAGAGATTTTGTAGTATTATGGATCGATTAAATCAAGCTGATGTTATCGATGATGAGCATTATGGTGATCCGTTGTACTTCATGGCCGCAGTCCTTGATCCTGCATTTAAATTCTTCTGGGTTCGTGATCTACAATTGTCCGTTCAAATGGAAAATCGATTAAAACAACATATTATTCAGTTAATTGTTGATGAAATGAATAAAGAACCAATTCTATCATCAGGACATTTTGATAGAATCAGTCCTGCAAGAACATCAGCAGGTTCTACGTCGACACCTAAAGCCAAACGCCGAAAATTGTTTGATTACGATGATGTTAATAGTGCTGATTTAAATGAGTCGAATGCACTTGATCCTGTCGTTGAATTGGATGCTTATTTGAATGATCCTGTACGATTACCATTTTCGGATTATTGGCATCGTTCGCAACTAAGTATTTTGAAACGATTAATTACTCGTATATTTTCGGTGCAAGCGTCCTCCGCTCCTATCGAGCGTGTGTTTTCTCATGTCGGACTTATACTGACGCCCAAGAGAATAAATATGAATGAGCAGATGTTACGTGATCGTGCATTTTTACGTGTTAATCAAAATTTATTATGAATAACTTGTATTTTGTTGAAGATCTTCATCAATTTTTCCTTCACTTTTAATTATTAATTTTTGTGCTCTTGTTATCTCGTTGATTTGTTAATCTTATCTTTTCTCAAGTGATGATGCTTTTAAAAAATGAAATGTTATACCGTTCTTCGTGAAAATCTAGTTTCATTCTCTTTATTCAGTATTTGTAAAATTTGATTTAGCACCATCTTGTGAACATCTGCAAGGAATACAAGATGTTCTTAAAGGCGAACAATATTTAACATTACATTCTTTTTTAATACTATACAAATGTGCAGAGTATAGTATTAAAATGTTATATCTTATCGAAAAAGTGTTGGTAACGACACCTTAGAATGATAATCTTTATAGTTTAAGTCATTGACAGAGTTTCTCTTGAATCATCTTTATTATCATCGCTTTTAGTGAAGTAAATGTACTGAAGTACTGGGTACTGAGTACATTTGTACTTTGGTACTGATACTGAGTATAAATATACTGACGAGGGAACCTTCTGACATGATACCTCCCGTTTTCATTCATTCATATCTCAATTAGTTAAGTATAATGAGATATTAAAAACCCTAAAGGGGATTTTCCCCAATCTCGTTCTTTCAAAAGTTATCGACATTTCTCTGTTTTTGCCCTTATATATGATGAAATTTTTTTAATCGGAAATTAACAAAATTACACAAATAAATTCGGAAGTTTAGTTATATATAGATCATGTGAGTTACTGTTACGTATTAGAAGAAGGAATTGTATCCTTCTTTAAGATAGTACACGTTTTGTTTCATATCTCTTAACGGAAAAACTTCTCTTTATCACAAAACTTTTAGAAGAAAAATATTATTTATATGAATTTCACAATTTTATTTTTTTCGAAGCAAAACGAATCCATAAAAAAGCATGAGTAACTCGAATTTCAGGAGAAACAAATGATGTAACTTCAATGAATATGATACATTTCGAAGAAATGATAGAAACATAAAACTTTTTCGCAATAACTACATTGTATTAAAGGAATATCAGTACACTGATTTTCGTGACAATCGAATTCTCGAAATCGAAAGCACACTTGTTCGACATTGTCATATGATCCTGGATTTTGTTCTACATAACCGCCTTGGTACCAGCTATACCGATGCATTGGCACGAATTTGTTTGAACAAAGTTGATTGTAACATAATGAAGTTAATTTAATTATATTATTTCTTTGTGAAAGATTACAATGTACATCATAAAGGCGTACATGATCATAAATTGTACGAACAATATGTTTATATTGACGATTAAATGTAATATCCAATAGCTGAATCATCGAATTTGTCTTCTTTGGGATAATTTCCAGTCGAAGATGTTTCATTTTCGAGTATAATTTTCGATCCGTTTGACCACCCCAAACATCCAATAATAATAATGCTTTTTCCATTACCAACTGCCGGTTTTAAAACGTTGCGAATCCAATATTCAACAAGAGAGGATGTCAACTTTCCCGATTGGCTGCAAGTGACAGTTACATTAGATGCTCGGAACAAATCTTTTTTAATGTTATTGGACATATGACCATTCTTTTCTTTCAAACATAAGTAACAGTTGCCAATTGGTTGACCAGATAATGAAGTAATGAATTGGACGGTGTAACTATGTGTTGTATTGTGTATAGATCGAACTTTTCCAAATGTAGATTTTTCACCTTTGAATGACAATGTTCGATTCCCTATCATTTCGATCTCAAGACCCGTTTGATCAGTATTTAAAACATTATGTTCTCGATAATGTGAAAGAAGTTTTTTAATTTTATTTACAAAATCATTTGCTGATTCATTGATAGTATCTGCATTGACTACTTCTCGTTGTGTGATCAATTTAGTTACCTTTCGGCTGCATAAAGCATGCCGGCGCTTAAAGCGAAGAATCCAACTATCACTTGCTTCAAATGT